CAATTTAGTGCAGCACATACATTCAGCTGTTTCGTCAGAGGAAAAACCATACAAAGGAACTCAAAAAAAAAATAAATTTTTATGAACAAATGGAAAAATATGTGCATTAGACTGCCCTTAGAATATGTGGAAAAATATTTGATTTAAAATTTTGATATGTATACCCTCTATATTTGTGCTTTTTAGCCTGAATAGCATATACATATGCTCGGGAAGTTTTATGCCCATAGGACAACGATAACCCGTGCCGACTTTTGGTTGAAATTTTTGTTAATAACTTGAGTTAACGCAACCAAATCCTCCTTGAAAACTATGGAAATGCGAAAAATTCGACATGTTTCCCATATTTGAACGCATTTCTTACATTACTTTCTTAATAGGACGGCATTATTCCTTCCAAGGACATCGAAAATGTTAATAAACTAAAAATATCTTTTGAAATTTTTATCCAAGATTTCGATCGGAAAATTCTGGTTCTTTTCCGGAGACTTTCAATAATAATACCCAATTGTTTATTTAACCACTTTTTAATGCTAACGGGTTTTTATTGGTCGCCCATTGCATTTCCTGGGGTTTTTGTGGGTTTTTGGCAGACCTATAAATTATAGTTGCGATGAAAAAATGGTTAAATGAACAAATGGGTATTTTTATTGCGTATCTGCTACAGATAAACAGAGTTTTCTGGTAAAAATATTGATTTTTAACTATTCTATACCATTTCTACGAAAAGTTGCTTTTTCCCCATATAAAATACATGGAAAACTTTGGGCGCTTTGAGCGACCTCTTAATATTTTTTGATTTCAAAATAAAAAATAAGGGAATATTTTTTTCGGTATAGAACAATCCCGGGGGGTGAGAGCATAAAAATTCCAACTTTACTTTTTCCAATGCATTTTTGGACCACCCTAATATACATACATATGAGCGATTCCACGTTAAGTAATCAAAGTAAACTTTTTCCCTTCTATTCCGTTTAACCTTGGAGCATTAGTATTACTCATAGATGGCGATTTTTGGCAAAAATATTTTTCCATTTAGCCAAATATTTCGGCATTTTACGTTACACCGCTTATTTAAATAATTTTTTTTTCTCTTTAACAATCTGTATGAGAACATCACGGCGCACGCCACAAATCGAGGGAGATGCTCAGCCAAACACAAATATATTAGGGGTATTCTCGAAGTCTTGCAAAGCCCTTGCACGGTGCACGAATTGAATGGTAAAAGCCGGTTTTCCTATGGGGCAGCTTTGCAAACCGTGCAATGTAATTTTAGGAAAATGTTATCATTATTACTCCCAAACTGATGAATTTTGCGTGAACAGGATTCTCCAAAAGCATCTATTTACACCGAAGGTTGGCATGAACCGCCATAGCGAGAGATATAATTAATTTAATTTTTAAGTCCCAATTTTGTATTCAAACAAAATAAATAAAGTATAAAAAAGAATAAAATTATTACAAATATCGCGTGTATCAATATGAAAACGACTCATTCAGGTAATAAGAAAACGACTCGCCCAGGCGAGTTGCCTTCGGCGGACTGATAATAAAAAATCGATACGATGGAGATATCACCGGCTATAAATTTGTTGCCTAGGGCGAGACGTAGGCAACAAAAATCGTTTGGCGGGATTGTTGATTTCAGCTTCGATAGATTTTTTGATTCCCACTCGATTGGAAATATGAATTTTTGAAAAAAATAAATAAATGTGTTCAATCATTTACATATATAAATACAAACATATCTACTCAAACATCAATGAAAGTGTATGCGGGCCGTGATTTTTCATTAATTAGGTGAAACCACATTTACCTTACATCAACATTTTGACACAACTCGCATACAAAGTCGAGCCATAATTGCTTTGTAAGCACGCTATTGTAATCTTTTGCGAAAATGTGCTGATCAGAATCTTTTTGTTTTGTACCAAGCGTGAGGAAGGTTAAAAATCAATGGAACTGGCAACGTAAGCAGTTGTAGAAAAAATAATTTAGCAGCAATGTGTGATACATAGTTACATACACTTAGGTCTCTTTTTATGTGGGATTTTTATACGGTTTTTCAAACCATATTTTTTCACTGTAGCCATTTTGCTTTTTTGAGAGTTTTTATGCCTTTTTTCAGTGTGTAAGAGACAATGCTTCTGATAAATAATTTGTCTTTGTATTTTTACATAAATCGTGTATTTATTTATTTTATTTTTTTTTTGTTAAAATACAGACACAATTTTATTTATTTCAATATTGTTCAGTTTTACATGGAATAATAAGTGTTGAAGTGAAGAAGTAAATTGTTCTTTTGCTTAATATTGCCTCACTGGATTTTTGTATGTGGTTTTTAGAATTTTTTTACACCGATTATCTGCATTTATGCGGTTTTTGAAAATGCTGGATCGCATCCCCTATTTTGTATGAAAGTAAAGAACTTTTTTATGCGGATTTTTTTTCTTTTTATGCGGCTTTCTGAGGAACGCATGTACCGCATACAAAGAGACTTAAGTGTATTTGTTTTATTTACAGCTCATAAACCCACATAACATAAAATAAAATTGCAAAAGATGATACTAAGCTTTTTAATTCGCCAAATTCAAAGTATTATGTTGAAGCGAAAGTGGTCCTCAAAGAACGAACATCTATCTACATAATTAATTTAAAAAATTTTAAGCTAAGCTCAATAGCACACTGAATGACTATTAAACAAGAGTTTAGTAGCAAATGTGATTTATTTGTGAGTCGATTATGGATAGCAACGCAACCTCAGTTGGGTTGCCTATGAGCACCGGCACTGAAATGAAAATGTATAATATGAATAGCAACTTAAGTAAAGTGATATAAATTTGAAGATAATTGAGGTATTCACAAAACGGTGTCGTATTGTTGTTTAAATAAATGTTTAGAGAACTTGAAACCACAACCAACTAATTTATAACACTGCGAAAATTCATAACATTACTTTGATGGTACTTTGCGAACCCCCCTTAATATATTTTTTAGGCGTTTAAAGTTTACGCGATACAACAATACGACACTTACGACATCGTTGTGAATACCCCAAATAGAATTTTAAAGTACCAGCAATTAAGACTTCAGTGCGAAAAAGCTGCAGAAACAATCGAAAAAAATAATAATTTACAAAATATACAAAAATGCAGTTGCCAATATAGTAACTCAGTTGCCGGTTGCCATCTGTAATACCATTTACGCCACTAGCAACGCAATTGAAGTTCGGTTGCTATCCTGACAACAACAGAATAAAAATCTCATAATCTCTCTTTTAGTTCTCAATATGAATATACTTATAATTAATAAACCGTTTCTCAAACATTTCGGACGCCTTATCCGATTGACCGTACAGCTCATAATTTTTAGTAATTAAATACATGATATAATAATTGGTAAAATATTTTCTTATATCTACACTTTTTTGGTCGTTTCGAGTTATCCTGATCGAAAAACTTAAAGCTGTTTACAACGAATAAATTTGACTGAGAAAATATTATGGGCGAGAGTTTAATAATGATTTTGATCAATACATACATACATTATTTGGACAAAATATGCAAATTAAATTACATAATTTCAAATTGAAGGAGTAAGTATACTTACATAAATTAGATTCAAAATTACATTCAACTTTCGCTTGAAACTTTGGCTGTCTTTGTAAACGCATTAATGCAAAACAATAGCCACTTTTATTTCTAATTCACAATTTATGCAACTTTGTTAAAAATAGGCATTTCTTCATGGTTGCGCCATTTGCACATTATTACGCGTCATGGATGAGAAGTAAAAGAGACTTATGCACTATATTGATGAGTTTAAGAAGAAAGTCTTCTTACTCATTTATAACGGTTGATGACAACCATTACAAAATAAGACTTATCTTAATGGGCCAATACAGGTATCAAACGTTTCATCGTACATACAACCGAAACAATTGTCTGGCATGAAGAAGAAATAAAGAATGAAAAAGGACCACCCTAAAGCTTATACCCTATGGTATTAAGTTATCGCATAAGCCAATCAATTTGTTTTAGCTACGACTTAACTGGTCAGTATTGAAAAAATTTGTAAAACCATCAATATTTTTTGCCAAGAACCAAGATCGCGTTGATTATGATCTTAAAATCATAATTAAAGCGTTAAAGTTTGATTTATATTTCTCCGATCAAATTTAACTGTTATTTTATGAAATCTATTTTTTTTTTATTAAGAATAATTGTCATTTTTGGATTTTTTTTTAAACAGTTTTTATCGTAATTATTTATATTTTTTCGGCCAAATCAAAACCGTTATTTTAAAATTTGGTTTACTAGACAAACGATTTAAAACGGTCTCAAAAATGTAGTCTCTAATACTCTTTTAATGTTAAAAAAGATTGAAAAAATAAAAATTCAAAACAACATTTGCTTTTGATCGAAAAAACTAAAAATCACATAATAACGCGCAAATTTTACTAAAAAATAACAATACAAATTTAACGATTATTCTTGATCGAAAAAACAAAAAATCTTGGTAATGGTTATTTTCGGTCACTGGTTTATGGTCTTTTTAGTAAAAAATTAAAAGCATTATAAGCAATAACGTAATTTTTCTATTTATTAAGCATTTGAATGTTATGTATGTATCCTATGAATTTGGTTCCCATCTTTTGCTTAATAACAAAATAAAACCAATTCGATTCATATTTTACAGTTAATTTTTTAACTACATATCCCTTTACATTTCCTATTTGCCAATTCTAAAACTTGTACATAAATAGTATGTACATATTGTAATTCTGCATTTTCACAATTCAAAAATCCACTCACCAAATGCCACGAAAACACCTAAGTTTACAGTGAATTGCAATATGGCACTAAAAGAACAAATTTAATTTTTATGGCGCCGTAGTTAGTAACTCTCCAATTTTCGGAGACTTCTTAATGGCGCAACAATCAACAAATTCTGCTTAGTTATAATAAGTATGTTAGCTTACGTATGTTTGTTTTAGTAATTTTTTTTTTTTGTATAGTTATGTAATAAACCATCTTACATCAAAGTGAGTTGTTCATTAAAGGACAAAATTCGTGAAAAATATTAATATTTTTTTCTTTTGTACCAATACCTAGTGCTTAAACATCTTACGCACGAAGCCTACTAAACAATATTGTACAAAAGGCCCACAAAAAAATTTATTGCCATGCATTTGCACCTGTAAAATGTCATTTACCCGTGCTGTCGCAAATACTTCAACATCAAAATTGACTTCGTTGCACAGCAACAAGTCTTACAATGAAAACAATTATATGTATACGTTTGTATGTAGTTTCTTGGTAGATACAAATGTGGCTTCAAGTACAATAACCTTTTTAGTTTTTTTTTTAGTTTTTTTTTTACATACAAATATTTATTGTAAGTATATCTTACACCTCATGCGAACTCAATTCGCACTTACGGAGTTTAAGTATATGCTTATGTTTTTGAGGCGGAACTTAAATGACTAACACCTTTGGTCCAAAGTCAAAGGTAGCCTTAGCCCTCCTAACAAACAACAAATTTTATTTCCAGCAGCAAATGCTGCCGGTTCAACAATAAAAACCTCTCAAAATATGTATATACCGTCACCAATTAACGCTTTCAAATGGACTCAGTTTTGGAAAAGTGGCGAGTGCTACTACCTCCACTGCCGCTACTTCCACTTCTGCCGGTGGTTCCTGAGAATGATTTACTGTTGTTATCATTTCCGGACGAAGCATTTGCTGCTTCACTATTTTGTCGTTCGTGATACTCTTGAAAGCATGGTACAATACATAAATTCGTTTGGCATTCGGGACAGTGGTATTTAGTTTTGCGCCGCAAAATTCTACCATGTCCATCTATGGTGTTCCAACAAAAGTTACAGCCCAGAGCCGGTCCGGGACGTATTACGGGGCAATGACTAGAACGAGGATTTTCCAAGGTGATGATCTCCCGAGAGGTCTGAAAACAAAAAACAAAAATGCATTATAACAATGATGAATATATAATTCAAGAATGTTGATTATATATATAGTAGGGGAACACCAAGCGCGGCAGATTAACTCAAATGCGGCAGATTTGCATATCGTCGGTGATACGGCAAAACGGTGTATGCCAATACCATGTGACAGGTATGTTCACTACCCGGCACGAGCGCGTGCAGGGAGCGCTTTGTCTGCGAACCTTTCCCGTCGCGCTCCAGGAACCAGCTTGCTACTGCAGAAACTCGATCGGGTTCGAAGATCTCGACAGAAATTTTCTTAACAAGGCAGTCTCGGAAGTACCCTGGATGCCACTATACATAGAAATCCCTCCAAGAAGTCCGCTTTGCTTCCCTCAAAGGCTTCTTGCAAGCACGCAAATGCTGCTTATAATTTTGCCTCTCAGATTCGTGAATTAGTCTTTTTTAAGTTTTTTAAATACTCAAAGCTGATATTAACCTTATTCGGTTCGATCACAGAACTAACTATTTCGACGGAGACATACATATGTATGTATATACAGTGGCGAAAGAAATAATAGAAACATTTTATTTTGACCAGTTTTAGCTATATTTATTTTTTATTCGATCTTCAATATTTTTTTGTACAAAAATTACGAAAATTCAACTTATATTCCCAAAAATTCCTTGAAAATATTAAAACTTTTTATTCAGAACTTTTGGAAAAATTTTAAGTATGCAGTCAAATTTTAGTAGGATAAAGTGCAAGTTTCAAGCCTGTAGAAAATCGCGTTGATTTTTTTAATAATTTTTTTAAGTGGCAGAGTCATGCATTTTCTTTCATATAAATTATGCCGACAATGCTCAAAATTTCTCTTTATATAGGAAAAAATGCCTAGCAGCCTCAGCAAAAAAAAATATATTTCGAAATCCCGCATTTACGGTCAGATTTAGTTTATATTTATAATACCTATTAGCTATGTATATGAAAAGGCATAACTGTACAAAAAAATTTGTCGATAGGTGGCTTGGGAGTAGAGATATTTGGAAAACCCGTATCTATGGTCCGATTCGGTTCATATTAAAAAAAAAAACTATTTAAAGATATATATGTTTTTTACTATTAACTTATTTAGATAAATTATTACTCACTTGTGGAGAAGACACCGATCTTTGTAACTCCTCACTCTTGACTCGCAAAGAGGGTAAGTGCTCAAACGAACTACTACTCGTAGCAGTGGCTCCAGGATGCAAACTGCTTCTACGCTCCGATAATAGACTACCCGTTGCAGATTTTGAACTACGAAAATTGCTCGTCGGTGGTGGTGTGTTCGATTCTGAAGATCGAACGCGCTCCAATGGTGCCGAACTAACGCTTGATGTATTACCCTGGACGCCAGTAATAGATGATGAGGTTGTCGGTGAACCAGTCCGGCCGCCTGTACCACTGTCATCAATATAAGTTGTAGTAAACTGTGGTAGGGTGAGCATTTTTGAAGGACTAGCGGCTGTAGATGATGTACTCATAGTGCCGATCACCTCATTGGACGATCCTCCGCTTCCACTTGATACGATTTGATGCGGTACTACATATTGCGAAGAGCCAGCTGGCGGTGGTGATCCACCGGACGTGTACATTGATTCCGGTAGTGATATGTGTTGTGGATGATGCAACGAAATGCTGGTGATATGACTCGTGCCAGCACTGCTGCTGCTGCTGCTGGCGTTAGTGGTTGTGCCCGAAAGTGGGTGTGAAAACTGACGATGTAACGGTGCAAAGGGGTTTGTGCCACCGCCACCAACTATTAATGAGCCAGCAGCACTAAGCGAATGCTGTGTGGGCAGTAACGGATCAGAATGCTGTTTCATAAGGAAGGGTGAATTCTGCGGAACAGATAATAAATGTGGTGAAGACGGAGTCAAACTCGGTGCTGGTTCGGAAGAGTGACGTTCAATACGTGGCGGCACAGACAACAAGTGTTGGTGGTGGAGGTGGTGGTGTGTGGGATGTGTATGCAGCTGGTGAGCATGGGCAGGCGCAAAATTTGAATGCGTACTACTGCCGGGGGAATTGCTGAAGGGATCAAAGTCGATACATGAACCTGTCGGTTCGGGTGAAGCTTGAGCATTTGATAAACTATCACTATCGCGTTTAATACGCGGTTGACGCGTGAGCACTCTATTGCGTTTTGTTCCCATTTGCTGTTGTTGCGAATGTTGGTGCTGCAGTTGCGTAGCAGGTTGCTGTTGTTGAGGGAGTGGGCTAGTAGGTGAGGGAGACATTGCCATATTAACGGCGCGTGGCGAGCACTCAGGTTGAGAGACAATTGTTTTCACTGCAACGTTAGGCGGCTGTGATATATCTGAAAATTAAAAATAAATAAGATTTCAGTAACCTTCGATTGCGTTTAAAAATTTGCATTAGGGTGGTCTTATCAAAATCTATATTTTGTATACAGCACCTCTTTATTGTGTTCTATGTACAAAATAAAGACATGCACGAAAATTTCAAAATTTTAAATAAATTTTTAGGGGCCACTACCAGAGTTTGAAAAATTTATTTATTTTTTATTTTTTTTAACTAATTATTATACATAGACCCACCAGAATATGTTTCCGTACAATGTTGTTTTTACATATTTGCAATGTTTTTCGTAATATATATTTTTTTAATTGTTAATAGAAATAGAGGTCATTCTGCATCAAATGTCATACAAATTAATGATTCAAAGTTTTTACAAAATTTAGGAAAATTCCATAAAATGTGACCAAAATTTTCAAAACACTGTACGGAAACATATTCTGGTGAGTGATATTCATAAACTCGCTGAGTTATATCTGATCAAAGTCAAAACTTGTGAAAATTTAAAGTCAGTTCGCGCTAAACTTTCATTTGGATGCGAGTATTATTTATTGCCATACATGTGCTAGCTGAAATTTTACTTTACTATATACTAACTGACCCGATAGACGTCATACGGACGGGACAGAGCTATGTCTGCCTCCAGAGACTCACACCACAACAGCTCAATTTCGCTTTGGCTACTGCAGCAGGCTAAACTCGTACCAGAGCAGAGTGAACGCAAATGTGCCCAATGAAAGCCCGGCATGCGGAGAGTCGCCACATGACTCACGGCACCTCTTCGCATGTCCCCCAAAACCCTACCCAGCTAACGCCCCTGCCTCTATGGACAGACCCAGTGGAAGTTGCGCGCTTCCTGGGCTTCCCTTTAGCTGAGCCTGACGACAACGTTGACGGACAAGCCGATTCGAGCGGAGTGTGTAGCCGCTAGAGCAACATGTTATGTTATGTTGTCAAAAGTGGACGGAGCTACACCCATTTCCCAAAAATCTGTAATAATCTTATATCATCCCAGTAGATAATTTCAGGCCAAAAGGCCTTCTTGAGATTCCAGAGGCCTTTCACTTTGCTTTTCTTTCTCCTTTCCTTTTTGTATGTAGTGGCATAAATTGAAGGCATAAAAGGGCTTCCAGAACGGCTTTTGAAGAACACATTTCAGAAGGCCTTTGGAGGAGTTCTTATAAAGCTGCTCCTTTAATTCATAAAGAGCTTGCTTCTTTAAGGGATTTATTTAAGGCTCATATCATCAAATATGTTTTATTGCAATCTAAAATGCATTTTTAAATTCATTTGTAATGCTAAACAACATAAGCTTATACTTTCGTGTAAATTATAAGTATAGAAAGCCCGTCTAGACCCCATGCAGGGAATTCTTCATTCCATCTTGGGTCGCCCTTTTAGAATGGCTTCACTTAAGAAGGCCTACCTAAATTATCTTGTGGGATGTTAAAATAATGTTGTACGTTAATTAGCGTCATACATATTAGAGGGCTGCGCAAATGGTTTTACTTTTACGGTGCACTATTGCACACTTCAGTAAATGCAGTACTTCAGCAAATTCAATTGACAATAAATGAAGTGAATGAATCCATAGTTAAGAATAATTGAGGTAAGTTGTTGCTAATGGCCCTATTTTATATGGCAACTGGTGCTAGTTGCTGTTATGGTAGCCATGTAGTCTGTTCCAATAGCAGTGCGGTTTACAGGATTTAGTCAGAAGTCGTTCCCATAGACAAAAAAAAACTGTAAGAGGGAACACTTTTAGAAGAGTAACTGAGCAACTGTTCCTAGTCAGAAGTTACAGGATTTAGTCCGGAGCTTTTCTTTATATAGGTTCATGAAAAGTATCAAACGATAGGCAGGGTTGCATTTGTAAACGAAAACAGAACGTGGTGAAAGCAAAGAACCTTATATTTGTTAAAACATGGACGTAAACAACAAAATATTTGACTATGTATAGACTTTAATTAGGCTTACGTGGTTCAACGAACTAAAGAACTAGTTCATCTCAATGAACTACTTCGCTAGTTCGGCCTTTTCATTGAACTAAATTTGTCAGTGCTACTATTTCTCATTTTGGGTCACGATCCAAACATTCTTGGCACGAGCAAAAACCCATCTTTACAGATACGTTTTAAAACGCGTTAGCATTGTTACTGCTTCAGTTCCTTGCCAAGATAGGGCATTTTCGAACTGGCTGCCGAGATATGTAGGTCGATCTTCAACCCAGGTGTCGATATAAATGAATAGGTAAATAAATAAATAAATGTATTCATAAATTGAACTAAATGAACTAAAGAACTAGCTCACTAACGTAAACGAACTAAAACTCAACGGTTCACTCAAAAGAAGAACTTAAGTGCCCAACTCTAGTATGTATGTAGTTTACAAAACTGCATAAATCTCATGTAGTGCTAAAAAATTATTGCAAATGTCGATTTCGAGTCAAGTAGTTACTAATAGAAAACAGTTTTCATATTTATGTAAATTACCGTTATATAGGAGTTGAGCGTGGTTAGTGTCGATTTCGAAAATTTTTAGCGGTTTTTTAGCTTACCTGTAAGCAATGTTCGTACCGAGTTTAGTGGGGATAGGTGAAGTGGCTGCTGCGCTAAAGCAATATTTTTCTTATTTTATGCCAAAATTCCAGGACTTACGGAAATAACTTGAGGCCCGCCCACATAGAACTTTGGCGTTGCGTTGGCGTTGGCGTCGCTTGAACAACTGTGACTATAGTCATTATAATGAATACATGAATTCAAATGCAGCCGTCCACATAGACAAAACGTATGTAGTTGTCTGGCACCAGCATCATCGGGCTCAACGGTAAAACATAATTCGTAACTGATTTCCATTTTGACGTAGAATACGTCTTACGTTTCTATATGGAGGCTATGCTCAAATGTTGTAGTTGTAATTTTTAGAGCTTCACGAAAACGCTTATTGCACGAGAACTAGTAAATCGATTTCAAAGAAAATTGTGCCGTTTCAAAGACAAAATTTCAAACCTATCGACAGATACATTTATGTAAGTAACTGATTCGTTGTCTGTCGTAGAAACAACGGTAAATATTGGCTTATTGAGCCTTTAAGTGCTCTAGCAGCTTATGGTTGGCAGATATAACTCAAATTTTCGGGATATAAGTTCTTTGGAGCAGTAGAAATATTTTCGTATACCAACTTTATATAAATTCAACAAATATCGAGCATTTAAAGGCAAAAAATGGTTGAAAAAATTTGGAATTTTTTTTTGAAATATCAAAATGTCGAAAACCGCTCGAATGATTTGGTTTTTGTTTTCTTTAATCAAAAATTCAGGTATTTTTCTTTCGTTTCGTATATGGGAAGTATTGGTTGATATCTTCTAAATATGTTCATTTTATTCAAATATATGCGCATAAATGCTTTTCCATACAAATCATCAATTTGCAAACACGTGCATGTGTAAAAACAGTTACATAGGTGCTGGCAGAGACAAAAGGACACCAAAACAGATTGCGCAGGTGAGGGGAAATATGTATAAGCTGATCACAGCATCCCCATAAACATTTTGGCGAACGTTCGAAAATGACCTTCGATATCCAATATGACTATCGAACTGAGAACCAAATTATAACCAACCTTAGCTTTCCAACGTTTATAGTATATTGGAAATACACTCGAGATGTGTTCGAAAAAAAATGGAAACCATAGTAACAAGAGAGAAAGTGATGTCCGGCTCATTCTCGAAAGGAAATATAAGAAAATCTCTCTCATTAAAATTCCAATTCGATAATGGGCTGGATTTCGAATTCATAACGAAAGAAAAATACATTGGATAACGAAGGTTCCGTTTTGCTGGAGAATGGCCTAGTTCTCGAATCGAATACTAGCCTATTTCACCAAGAACTGCCATCTCCTAATCCAGGGTGTGATGCGACACCGTGCCTATTGGACGGTTTGCAGTCAGGAGGATATAAACCGGCTGTAGTATAACGGCGCCTCTTCGACACCGGGCCGCATCGAGGAGTAATGGTGGCCTTACCGCGACATGGGGCGCTGGCGCGGCGGTCCAGATGAGATCGCCTTCCAGTTAATTGATTGCTGAGCTCGCCTCGTCGAGCAGGCAGTCGTACGAACAAGATGTATACAACTAAACAAAAAACAACAACAAAAACAGTAAAGCAAGCGCGAAAACAATCGCGAAAACAGCGACGACAGCTACATAAGCAATAGCCACAACTGCAACTATCGCTACAACAGTAGCAACAGCAACTACTGCTGCGAAAACAGCAACAACAGCACAAAAAACAGCAACGGCCACGCACGGCAGTAACATGCTGGGCGGGGGTAAGGGCACCAGGCGCAGAGGTAGCTTCTTTGAGAGCCTGACCGAGGATTAGGCTGCCCTCTTCATTGAACACGACAGAGAAGAAGAGAAGCCAAGCACCAGCAGGGGCGGCGTGGATCAGGCGCAGCATCGTTCGCATGGCCTCAAGAGAGCAGAAGCATTACTCCCGAAGAACAGACATCGCTTTGCAAACAGGCATCGGACTGAAGGCCGGCGTCGCTCCGGGAGTCGTGACCGCTCCGAGAGTCGATGCTGGTCCAGGGGCCGGCGTCGTTCGGAGAGCAGGCATCGCTCCAGCAGCAGGCACCGTTCCAACAGTAGGCACCGTAGATCTCCCAGTCGGACCTCCTCAGCGTCGCATGAGTCAGGGTGGCAGGTACAGGAGAATAAGAAGCGTAGTCGCAGGTGCAGACCTCCTCCACTACCATCCTCCGGTCAACCGGGAGCCCTTGATGACCACCATCGTATGAAAGGAAGTAAAATTGAATCAAAATAATGATACACGTTATGGCGTATGTATATCTATTTATAAGCTAATGGTACATATGATTAAAGTTCATGTGGATCTGCTTCTCTATTGCTAAGTAGTAATATTTTGCAATTCATGCAAGTTGTGAACAGCAATAAACTAAGTTGAGTTGTGAACCATAATAGGGGCCCAAATTAAGTTC